TCATTTTCTAAACATTTAATTTCTATTAGAGGCCTTGGTATCAACTCCTCTTTTTTCCCTCCCCACCCCCAACTAGAATTCTTTAATTTCTTCCATCAATAGTTTTAATGGTTGGTGCATAAATTTGAATGATACGTGTATTGATTGGACTTCTTTATATGTAGATAGCACAGACAGTATTGTTCTTCAGGATAGATCTTGAAATGTCCTTTTTGATTGATGATTAATGCAGTGCTATTTCTCTTAATTGTGTCATTCCAGGCATAGTAAAGCATATGATTTTCTGATTAAAAATGGCCAATACCAGTTCATTGCAGTTCACTAACACCTAGTATATTGATCTTTGTGCATATAATTTCATTTTTAATGACTTCCGATTTACCTAGATCCATACTTCATACATTCCAAGTTCCAATTATTAATAGATGTTTGCAGCTGTTTCTTCTCATTTTGAGTCGTGCCCCATCAGCAAATGAAGGTCCCAAAGGCTTTACACCACCCATGTTGTTATGGTTGACTCCACTTTGAGAAGGCAGCTCTTCCTCAGTCATATTTTGAGTGCCTTCCAACCGGATCAGAGACAAAACAAAAGGAAAGACTATTGTCTGCCTCTTCGAATACTAGGAAGAGGAATCTGGTTAGAGTAGCTCCATACAGTGTCCTACAAGAAAAGACTAGAGATCTGCAAAACTGTTGGTAGGAACAGGAGAAGCAGGGCTTTCTCAATTTCAAGGGGTGGGGCTACGCCTCCCAAGCTTCAAGAGTTCTATCTTTTCCAACTCAGTTCCGGAGTGTGGAGCTGCTGTTACTAAGGTATGCAGGGGAATGGGGCCAGGGCCCAACCCTGAGGCTGTGAGGCTGCCATGCAGGCGTGGGATACTCTCACAGATAGACTAAAAGAATAGGACTGTACAGAATCAAGGATGTAGGGTTGCCTTTTTTGGGGACCTGGAAAGTGGAACTGAAGTCCAGAGGACATGACCAATACTCAGAATATGGAAGGTGGGATCGTTGCCCAAATGGTCCCAAAGAATAGGGTCATTGTCAAGAGAAAGAATGTAAATGATTCTGCTGGCATTTGTACTTGGTTGATGCAGTTACCCCTTCGTTCCCTCTAATTTCTCTCATTTTGTATTGGAGATGCGTACCCGGTGCTTGTTCTACCACTGTACTTTGTAAGTAGGCTGCTTGTCTAGATTTCACAGGTGAAGACGAGTTTTGCCTCAGAGTAGAATACACCTGAAGTCTGAATCCATATTTGATTCAGATGGTCAGAAAATGATATTTGGGACTTGAGGTTGACTTTGGGGATGATGTGATAGGGTTATATTGGGTTTCGCATGTAGCACGTACATCAATTTTAGGGGGACAAGATATGACAATATGATAATTTATAAATTAGCAAGGGTTCATAAGGGAGAGGGGAGGGGAAAGGGAGGGGGGAAATGAGCTGATACCAAGGGCTCAGGTAGAAAGCAAATGTTTTGAGAATGATGATGGCAACAAATGTACAAATGTGCTTGACACAATGGATGGATGTATGGATTGTGATAAGAATTGAATGAGCCCCCAATAAAATTATTTAAAAACTAATAATAATAATCATTCTTTCACATCACACGCAAAAAAATGTTTAGGGGGACAAAAGGTGGAATGTTATAGATTGAATTACAAAAGTCACTGCCAGAGTCGATTCCAACTCGTGGCAACCCTATGTAGGATTTCCAAGGTGGTAACTCTCTACAGGAGCAGATAGCCTCCTCTTTCTCCTACAGAGCAGCTGGTGGGGTTGAAACTATGCTTACCCCACACCACCACCAGGGCTCTTCTGATGGATTGAATTGTGTCTCCCAAAATTGTATGGTAAATCCTAATCTGTATTTCACCTCACAGGAGCCCTGGTGGTGTAGTGGTTACACATTGGGCTGGTAACTGCAAGGTCAGCAGTTTGAAACTAACAGTCGCTCCTTGGGAAAAAGGTGAGACTGTACACTCCCATAAAGAGTTACAATCTTGAAAACCCACAGGGGTGGGTGGAGAAGGAGTCAGAATTAACTTGGTGGCAGGTAAGTTGTTTTTATACCACCTTGCACTGGCATTGACAGCAAAGTTAAAAAGCACAACAACATCAACAAGAAGACAAGCTGGAGAGTTAGAGAGGTGGGAAGCCTGCTATGTTGCAGATCGGCCTATTAAAAAGATGCAATCACTATGGAAGCAGTATGACACTAAGTCAACGAACTAGGAATAGAAATCCAATAATCCTGCAATCCCTTTGTGGGATATATACCCTTAGAAGTAAGCAACATACGAAGAGCCCATCCCTGTTCATCGGAGCACTGTTTACAATAACAAGAAGATGGAAAACATCTAAATATGCATCAGTGAAAGAGTGGGTGAATAAACTTTGATACATACACTTAAGAGACTACTACACTGTTAGAGAATTCATGATGAAATGGTGAAGCACCTCATGGTATGGATGGACTTAGAGAACATTAGACTGAGTGAAATTACCGTATATATTCATGTATAAGCCAAGTTTTCCAGGACATTTTTAATGCAGTTTTTGTGGTACAATTAGGTGCCTCCGCTGATATTCGGATGGGCTTATACTCAGGTATATACAGTAGTCGATCATGGAAGGACATACCATATACACTCGAATATCAGCGGAGGCACCTGATTTTACCACCAAAAAATGCATTAAAAATGTACTGGGAAAAGTCATCTTATTGGGTGAAGGGAGATGTCAGAGAGTGAAAGATATGACAAAATAATAATTTATAAACTATCAAGGGTTCATAAGGAAGGGAGGGGAAAAATGAGGAGCTGATGCCAGGGGTTAAGTGGAGAGCAAATGTTTTGAGGAGGATGAGGGCAATGAATATGCAAATGTGCTTTACACAATGAGTGTATGTATAGATTGTGATAAGAGTTGTATGAGCCCCTAATAAAATGATCAAAAATAAAAAAGAAAGAGAACCACTTACATGGACTGTTTAAAATGAAAAAAAAAAGTTGTATGAGCCCCTCATAAAATGATTTTAAAAATTAAAAAACTCACCTTAGCACAAGTATATGTGTTTGTTCAACTACTTGTGGTGTTTCTGTCACAGCAGCACTGGATAACCTCTCCTTTCCCCTCAATCCCATTCTTTTTTCTCAGGGAAAAACCTGTGACTGAAAATATTAACTGGGTTAACCAATTATATAGAAATGAAAGCTCAAAATACCAATTTATAAACTATCAAGGGCTCATGAGGGAGGAGGGAGCGGGGAGGGAGGGGAAAAATGAGGACCTAATGCCAGGGGTTTAAGTGGAGAGAAAATGTTTTGAGAATGATGAGGGCAATGAATGTACAAATGCGCTTTACACAATTGATGTGTGTATGGATTGCGATAACAGTTGTATGAGCCCCTAATAAAATGTTTAAAAAAAAAGAAAGAAAGAAGTGAAAGCTCTTATTTCAGCTGAATATACCTTTACTGTGTTCAGTTTTGTCCTACATCCATTGGAAACTAAGGCAGTCTTCTGATTCTTTTTGATTCTTCATATTTGAATTGAAATTTCCCTCTACCCTTCATTTCAAAAGGATTTTGAATCTTAAACTGACTGCCCTTGTCACAGAGTTCAGAGCAACTTCCAGGAAAGGCCACTTTCAGGTAAAAGAAGCCACCTTGACAGCTGGGCTTTGGGTTCTTGACGGGGTAGGAGCTGGTATGGGTCCAACCCCTGTCTAATTGGTTGCAATCAAGAAGACTTGTAGAAAAGAGGTCTGAAGTAGAGTGCTCACTAGGAAGTATGTACCGAAGGAAGAAAATAAAAAGAGGAAGCCAACAGACCCCCATTTAAAAAAATTAAAAGACCTTAGAACCATGTTTCAGAGATGTGGAGAACTGCAGCATCCAAGCTGTGAATGTGTTGCAGGCATGTATTAATAAAGGAACATGGTCAGCCATTCTCGTTGGGAATTTTGAGGATATTATTATTTTGAATTGTTGCTGTTTATCTGTTCACTTCACCTCTCCCTTTTAAAGGAGGGTCAGGCTGATAAATGATTGTCCAGTAACCCTGTCTTACTTCATAAACGGGGGCAAACCTGCCCTCACAATTTCATTGTCCTTCCTTCAAAACCCCCTAAACAAAATCCTATTTTCTTCATCCTGCCTATAGGCTCCTCCCAACCCTTGGAGAAAAGAAAGGAAAAAAACCCTCTTGCTTGCATTTTTATTCTACCATTATACAGCCAGCAGCATTGTACTGGCCCCTTTATGGCTGATGGAGCCCAGGCGAGCTGCCCGATGAGGGGAGACAGCATTTGGCCGAAGGGGCTGATGTGTGCTGTTACTGCTGGCCATTGGGCCTCGGTCCTCTACAGCTCCGTCCTGGCTCATTAAAACTCTGAGCCAAATAGGCGCGCAGGCGCCTGCTGCAGCACTGTGGGGGCCAGGAAGTTAAATGGTTCTCCTAATCCTGCATAATTTATCTCCCTGCTAGCCCTCTCATAAAATTGTCCAATTCAGCCCCACCATGAAGAGCTTCATTCTAAATTTCCAATTTTGTGATGACCAATGACTGCCCAACCTTTCCCTTCTCTCTTTATTATTATTATTAAAAATTATTTTCCCCTTGTTCACTAAGAGTTTGCCTTAATGTTTTGTTTTGTTTTTTTCATTTGGAGCCTCCTGCCTGGACTCCACTTCACCCACAATCTGTCCACTTTGCTCGCTTGGACTTGATATTGCAGAGCAGTTGGTGCCCCATCTCCCCTCTGCTCTCCTCTCTGATTTTTAGCTCTTCTTTCTCGCCCTCTCCTTTCTCTCTTCTCCCTCTCTTCTCCTTTTTCATTACTTCCAGGTTTTCCCCTGGCCATTTCCTCTCTGCCTCTCTTTCCAGGGACCAGCCTTGGTGCAGGATGTCTGGGAGCATATTAAAAAGGACAATGAATCGCGTATTTTATTTTATTTTTCACATCTCCATTTCTGTTTCATTTCAGAGATTTACAAACGAGGACCACCTGGCAGTTCATAAACACAAGCATGAGATGACATTGAAATTTGGCCCAGCCCGAACTGACTCAGTCATCATTGCAGGTATTTGCAGCCCCAAAAGCCATGTGCCTTGCTAATACCGGACAGTTAAGATTAATACCAGGGACCAGATGTACTGGGAGCTGTACTCCCCTTTTCCCATTAAGAGCCCTGTGTGACCTGCATTTAATCAGGAAAAGGAACACGAAGAGCTCCCAGGTTTCGATTGTGCCCTCTGCTCTTTCTAATAACAATATCGGGTTCTGTGGTGTTTGAGGGTAGGGGTGTTAGGGTTCCGCCTGAGCTTTTTCCTCCCCCTTCCTTACTGTCTTTTTACTAGACTTCAGAAGGCGGACAGACGGAAGATGCCTCCGACTTTCTTCCCACACATAGAGAGAGCGTGAACAAAGAAGGCCGGAAGGCCGAGCCCAGCCTGGCTTCTGCTCTTCCACTGGGTGTCAGTTTTCCTGATTATCAGTTCGTACATTCCGTGTTCCTCCTGAACCTAGACAGAGGGCACATTTCTAAACTCCAACCATGTATTCAGGGGGACTTTTCTAAGCCAATTTGGGTGACCTGAAACATCTCACTCGTAGTTTTAGTTACTATTTTGCTTACAAATGCCACTCTCAGGGGAATGCTCTCAGCAAATGCTCTTGAAACCATCTAACAGTTCTCTTGAGCCAGTTCCAACTAGACACACACTCAAACTAAAGTAGGCTTTTTCTCTGATACCATGAGAGGCTCTGATTTAGCCCAGGTCTTTCAACAAGAAGTTTACCTCAGTGTTTAACCAAAAGAGTTTTTAGCTTGTGGCAGTTATATCTGTTAATCTTATCACCAATATTAATATTAATTTTATACAATTAGTTAACTTTAATAATAATTATAATTCTTAAGACATAACTACCCAAAAATGCTACTCTAGAGGTGGTAACGGAGACTAAAACTTCTTCAACATACTCTTCCATGAAGAAAGAGACTTGCCCTTTGTGTTAGTCTGGGTAGACTAGAGACAAAAATTCATAGACACACTCATATGTATATAAGAAAGAGCTTTATGTACAAGAGCAGTTGAATATTGAGAAAATATCCCAGCCCAGTCCAGATCAAATCCATAAGTCCAATATTAGCCCATATGTCCGATACCAATCTATAAAGTCCTCTTCAGATTCACTAAACACATGCAATGATGTCGAATGCGGGAAGATCACAGGCCAGTGGGTTGGAAGTCTTGTGGATCCAGTGGCGTTATAAGCATCTCAGCGGTGACAGGGGTCTGCACGTGATTCCTTCATCTTCGAAACTCTGACTGCCTCAGGGTAGCTTCATGTGGCTTCTCCTCAGAAATGTCTTGCAGGGAGTCAGCTTTGTCCGTAGAGAGTCTCCACGGGAGTGAACCAAGAGAGTGTCCTGCCCCCAAGAGGAAAATACAGGAGTTCCCAGAATCCTCAGAGAAGGCCATGTCCACACAGAGACCTCATTGGCTATGGCCCGATTGACACAGACTAGACTCTACCCCTCCACTCTTAATCCTCTCAAGTCCCAAATTTACACCAGATTATGTAGCTACAACACCCATATAGATTTCATATTCCTTCTTAATTAAGCAAATATTTATTGTCTCCTGTGTGCCAGGCATAATCCCTGGGGCAAGAACATGAGTGAGGGCTTTGACATTGATGATCTTTACGAAAGTCTCAGAGAAGAGTAATATTTGCAAAGTATAAGTGAATAACACAAACACTATTAATACTGAGCAAAACTGATCAGAGGAAGTTTATGAAAGAGGTAAATTTAAAGGAAGGTTACCACAATAGAGAGGTTATTCCAAATGGATAACGGTTTCATGTTGAGTCTCAGAGAAGGTGAAAGAAGTTACTATAGGCAAGGAGAAACTGTTATTTCCTGTTATTCTTTGCACTCTGTTCTGGAGTGCTTGTCCTATTGCATATGACTTGAATTATTCTAACTGGTAATTCTGATATCTTAAGGCCTGGTATCTTCCATGTAGTCCAGACCCTTGTTGAATATTTTTAGTTGGCTTTTTGTCTAGTTATAGTCTTGTTGTATAAGACTGATCTTACCTCTTCTGTTATTCACTGATAGCATTCTCAAGTTTCTTCTTCAAATTCTCACTGTTTTGTTTCTTCTTGATTCCAATATCCTCATTATGTTGGGCCACTTTAATTTATCTTTATTTCATGTCTATAATAAGTTTATTCTTTACCGTACATGGTACTTATATTTTTGTATTTATTGTGCATGATGGTGCTTTGGAGGGCTTGCATATGATGCTGTCTACATATATTAGTTTGATTTCCTCAACTAGAAACCATTTTCTAATTCTATAGGGCAGAAATCATGTCTTGTATCTGGAGAATGTTTCTATATCCCTTCCTCTCCTCTTCCAGGATGCACACAAGTGCGTTCATGCAGTACCAAAACACATAGGAAGTGTTCGGTAAACACTTGGTGATTTCTTAGGGATCATCAGAGTAGGCTCAGAATTTGCTTATACATTTTCAGACTGTTTGTTCAGGAGCCAGAGCCAGTTGAAGCTTAGAGGATACCTGGAAGGTCAAAAATGAGATTTAGCACATAGGAACTTTTGAAATAAAAGCCAAAAATGAATATGAGTAACAGGGTGCAGGAGAAGTTCATATGAACTTCAGATCAGACATCCAAAAAGTCTCTTAGCTGCCCCCTCCTGTTCCACTTGAGTTGTGATTTGTATAGGCTTTTACAAGCACTCCAAGCAGAAAGGACGATATTCCACTATTCTGCCAGGGATGGAGGCAAAGTGGCTTTATTGTTGGCCAATCCAAGTTGCCAGAGAGCCTTTTAAATCTATTTTGAGAGGTAGTGGTGACTTTTCCAAACACTGTGATTCAGAAGAGGTTTTGTTTAAATGTTAAAAAAAAAAAAATCATTTCCATGGAAAATCCCCCTGGACTATTCCTAATTGCTCATGCTAGAAGAAGCATTCCTAATCCCAGATATTATTCCTTAAAGTACCATTCAGACGTTGTTCTTTTTCTGTAATTCAGTCTAGGGGGCGTTGAGGTTTGAGAAGAATCCCCGTGGTGACTGGCTTGTCAAGAAAAACCAAGAGGATAGAGTTAGAATCAAAGAACAAGACGCAACTGAGCTGAGCGAGAAAACCTAGCAGAGCAGGACCAGGAAAGATAAATGCAAATCTGAAAGTTCAAGTTGGAAAAGTTCCTCGGGCTCCCCAACCTTCCTCTTCCCAAGGGAGAGGCCCTGCACTGAGGGAAGGTTTGAGCAGCCCCTGACGGGATCTTTTGGCTGGCAAATCAAGTCCACACATCCTGCTTTCAGGAATTTGCCCTGGGCCCTGGTCTCTGTGCAATGAGCTCTATTGTTTAGTTTCCTTTTCTGGTGCGTGAGCTCACTGTCTCTTTCTTTAACCCCTACCTAGGCCTGGAGTGACTTCAGAAGGTATCGGACCCTTACCTCAGTGGTGTTTCTTGTTTAATGACTTTAGGAAGAAAACTCAACCATCTGATCTACAGTTTCTTCTTATCAGATTTGTAACATTCCATCTGCTTATACCTGTTCCCTTCAGACTTAGGAAGGGGATAGGTTAAAGAGAAAATGTCACTTTACTGTACTTCATTGTCAAATCTGAAGATTTCATAAAGCTCCCCCTGAGTAGGTGGTTTTGTTTTCAAACCACTTTTGGTACACAGGTAGTCTTTTGACTCACAACAAAACATAGCTCTGTCTTCCCCCTGCTGGCCTTGAGGCAACACAGCACAGACACCCTCTGATGTTCTAGCATCAGCCTTCACCTGCTAACACAAAAACCCCCAACCCACCAGTCTGTTTGATTCTAACGCCGTGATTCTGTTGGGCAGAGTAGAATTGCCCCCTATGGTTTACAAGACTAATCTTTACAGAGACAGATTGACCCATCCTTCTCCCTTGGAGCAGTATGAAATCACTACCCTTTGGTTACCATCCAACCACTTTAACTACTGTACCACCAGGGCTCGCTTTTTCGCCTACCAAACCCACTGCCATTGAGTTCATTCCAACTCATAGTGAACCTACGTAAAAGTTCTGAGAGGTTAAGTTTTGCTGGAGCACAACATGGTTTTTCTCTCAAGGAGCAGCTGGTGGGTTTGAACTGCCGACTTTGCAGGTAGTAGTAGTCCAGTATGCTTAACCAACAGCACCACAGGGCTCCCTTCCATCTACTAGAGCTCAGCAAACATAAATTTGTTCTAACTCAGAGGCCATCTTCCTCCAAATAGAATAAAAACACATGCTCTGTAAACTCTCAGGAGTTCTGGATAGGGCAGTTATTCAAGTCCAATTAATAGGAGCCTCAAAAGAAAGGCCTGGTAGTGTGCTTCAGGAAGAAAACCAGCTGTTGAAAACCCTATGTAGCACAATTCCGCTCTGCACTGGGGGGCGCATGAGTGAGGGTTTCAACTAGAACCGGAACTCTATAAACCTGTACCCGTTAATTTCAGATCAAAACTGAAAATGTCCTTTTCTTTTCATGTCTACAGATCAAACTCCTACTCCGACTAGATTCCTGAAGAACTGTGAGGAGGTGGGGCTCTTCAATGAACTCGCTAGCTCCTTTGAACATGAATTCAAGAAAGCTTCCGATGACGATGAGAAAAAGGCAAGAGATGGAACGTTTGCAGAAAACTGGTTCAGACCTAGGCAATTTTTTTTGTTCTTTGGGACAAGTTGCTTAATTGGTTAGAGCACAGAATTATAGGCTTAATTCTATAGGATCAGATTATTGTTGTTAGTTGCCTTCAAGTTGGCCCAACTAATGGTGACCCTATGTGTCATTGTGATTCATAGGATTTTCACTAGCTGATATTAGGACGTAGGTTGCCAGGCCTTTCTTCCTAGTCTGCCTTAACCTGGGAACCTCATGGACACTTGTTCAACAGAATCAGATAGTACTACTAATCCTAGTTAACTTTCCAGGTCTTTAAAGATCATGTGACTGATAAGTACAATCTTCACTAAAAATCAATCTTTTTTTTTTTGCTAGTAATTTACCTTTAAAAAAATACTCCTATCTTAAATATCTTAAAGAATTATACAGTTGCTCTGGATTTTTAGATAACATTCTGTTGCTAAAATCCTAGTGTTTTCTAAGCTGAGCATACCTTGCACCTGGACTATTTTCATTTGATCATTTATTGAATTTTTTTTCATTGTATTGAATTTTGGCTCTTCTGTGTTTCAGCACTTGAAATTCGAGATAAATTACATGTGGTTACTGCCCTCAGTAGCTCTCTAGTGATAGCCAAGGCATAAGTTTAAAGAAATATGTTAATAAATTAATTCCTCTCATAGTAGATAAACCAGGATGGTGAAAGAACTAGTATTATGTCATTTCAGGGACGTCTAAAGAAGTTGATGTTTTGCTTAGGAACAGGAAAATGTCAACAAAAGTGTGGTCTTCAAATTTCTAAACATTTTTACATAAAAGAGGGTCTTATACTAAGGACAAAGTGGGACCACTGAAGCTATCACAAAGTATGTTTAGTGGCAGGTTGGCTGCCTAATGGAGATACTGTGTAAATGTTGGCATCTGTTTTAATCCTGTGGGACTGTAGTTCTGATTTTCATCTTTTTATTCCAGACCCATAGACAACCCCTCAGTTTAAAAGACCAGAGGTAATATTTAGATAAGCAGAGTAAAAAGAAGCTGGTTTCATAGAACAGGGAGGTTTCGTGGGAAGGGGAATTGGAAGACGATAGTGGCACTCTTCTTTGGAATTAAAAATTCTAGGTTTTTATTATTTAAAACCATCTCTGTATTCCATAATGATTTAGAAGACACCAAACGGCATGTCCAGAATCATTTGTACTTCTCATAATTGCATGGTGCACAAAGGCATAGCATCTCATCAGAATACAGAAAAGCTAGAACATAGGAAAATGTACCATAGGAGTTCTTTCCTTCTATGAGGGGGAGAGCAGGTAAATCAAGACATTTGTGCTTTTTCTTCTTTTTCATTTAGCTTAAAATTATAAGGATGCAAAAGTGTCCTATCTTTGGCACTCTTTCCCAGGCTCCTTGACTTTCTCTGAGCTGCTTTTCTTGCCGTCACCCTCATTCAGCTGGCAGAACGTGGAGAAACGCAGTGGTTTCTCTCTCTCCTTCTACTTTCAAATGGCGAACTAATCAGTCTTCTCGTTGCTGGTTTTATTTTAGAGACCCAAGTATTTCATCACACTGTTGCTACAACCTAAAAGTATAATGAATTTTACTACCTCACTTTCACTGCCCTTTTCTTCCTCTCCCCGCGCAAAGAAGTTCATCACATTGCTTCCACCAAGATGTGAGGGGTTTTATTTCAAATGCATTGTAGACAAATTCAAGAAAATTAGCATCTCATTTTGCCCAAAGTGGCAAGACTTTCCCACGGCCACTTTAGCTCGGTTGATACTTCTGGAAGGCTGGTTCACAATCGACCAGGCCATTCTTCACTGGGCATTCATTCCCCAGTGTTTCTTCCTGCCGGTATGGAGGTGGGCCTTAACCCCCTCTTGATGAGAAGCACAGGATCGGTAGAAGATCGGTTCCAGGCATGTTTAACAGGCTTGAAGCTTTCTGAGCCACAGCTTTTCTTGGAGATGCCCCGATGGTGTTTTCAACCTTTGGTTGTATTTACTTAGAGGCCGTCCCTATGACTTCTGGGAATCCCAGAATTAGCTAAATTGAACCAGATTGTTTTAGTAATATAAAACAAATGAGGGCAGAAATTAAACCATCTTTGCTGTCACCCTCATCAAAATGGAGGAGGCAAGAGCCATTACCACCTTTTCTAAAGTAGTAACCCGCTACATTCAGTTGCTTCCTACTCACAACAACCCTGTAAGACAGAGTAGAGCTGCTCCTTAGGGTTTCCTAGACTGTGAATCTTGATGGGAGCAGTCAACCTCATTTTGTCTCCAGAGGAGTGACTAGTGGGTTCAAACCAACAACCTTACAGTTAGCAGCTCAATGCTTAACCTACCGGTGACCCACTAACTCTTTTCTTTTCTAACATAGTGTACATCTGTTATCTTTAGTTTACTCAGCTACTGAGAAGATAGCAAGGAAAAAGTTGAAAATAAGCTCTTCTCTCACCAAGAGACCAAGGAGTCCTGGTGGTGCTGTTGTATAAGCATTAGACTGCTACCATAAGGTTGGTAGTTCAAACCTATCAGCCTCTCCATAAGGATTTACAGCCTCAAACTTTGTATGGGGTCATTATGAGTCAGAATGAGCAGAGCAAAAGAAAAGATCCACTTTGTCATGAAACCGAACTCCCTCTCCAACCCTCCAGTCATAGTGTAGTGTCAAGGCCATTTTCTCAACGGTTCCCTGCAGAGCTATTTATGATTCCACAGCTTTTACTACTGCCCCCAAAGTATCCTTTTTCCTTTCTGGTTTTCTCCATTAGGGGTTCCAAGGCCAAGTTTTCTCTCTCTTTTCCCCCCACTGATCAGTTGGTCAGCCTTTTTTTTGTTACCCCAAAGTGCTATCTGGCTAAAACCGCAAGGTTATAGTACCAGATCTTAGGATTAAATCACAAAAGATGTTTCCTATCTTATTTGCAGGACTTTAATAGCTAGTTTATCTTCAGATACTTGTGATAATTGAGTAGGTTAGTCATTTGGATTGGCAGTCCTCCCACAGCCACCAGCACTAGTTGGGACTAGACTGGAACCTGAGTCAAGAAATCACTTTACTTTGCTTAAAGCAATGTGTTAAAATGCATGATCATGATCATATTGGCATGAATGTTTATTACTTTTTTCACTGTATGGATTATGCTATCTTCATTTTATAGTTACACAAACTAAAACCCAAAGAAATTAAATTTATTTGGCCAGAGTTTTACATGAAATTTGTTGTTGTTGTTGTTGTTGTTGTTGTTGTTGTTAGGATCTACATTTCTCTAACTTGCAGGTCAATACTTTGACCCAAGGCTTGGCTTCTCAGAAACATATTCTCTCATCTCATAACTGTAAAGAATTAGATTTGAACCTTAAGGGAATCATGGGATTGAATTCTGCTCATTTCTCTTCTTTAACAGACTGCTGCTGGGCCCCTTGACATGTCTCTGCCTTCCACACCAGATATCAAAATCAAAGAAGAAGAGCCAGTGGAGGTAGACTCATCCCCACCCGACAGCCCTGCCTCTAGTGCCTGCACCCCACCACTCAAGGAGAAGGTAAAACTCTCTACCAAGACTCATTCCAAGAATATCAGAGGTTAAGTTTTGATTCATTAGGTTTATAAATAGTATATCGTACATGAGGGTTGATTGTATTTAGATAAATGTTCATTATTTTGAAGATTTATATGAATTATACCAATTCACTGAGCCCTGGTGGCATAATGGGTTACATGTTGGGCTGCTAACCTCAAAGTCATCAATTCAAAACCACCAGCCACTCCATGGGAGAAAAATGAGGCTTTCTACTCCTGTAAAGATTACTGTCTCAGAAACCCCCAGGGGCCGTTCCACTCTGTCCTATCAGAATTGACTCCATGGCAGTGAATTTGGGTGTTGTTGTTATTTTATTGTGGTTGTTTTTGTTTACTAACCCAACCAGTCCACATAGCCGTAAAAGCTGCGTTTATTATAACAAAAAAATTGCAAGTAATCCAACTGTCCATCAATTTTGAAAAATGAATAAGCTGGGGTATACTTATGAAATGTAATTCTATATGACATTTTAAAAGAATGAACCACTGATGTGTACAGTATATTTGATTGAATAACAACCAGAAGCTGAAACAAAGTACTTAGTGCAAGACTCTATTTACATGAGTAACTTACATGAGAAGAAGCAAGACGAGTTGTTGATGACAGAACTCAAAATTGTTTTCCTCTTGTTAGTAAGGAAGGTGTTATGGATTGGGAAAGAATACAGGAGAATTTCTTAGGTTCTAGAAATGGTCTCTATCTTGCTTTTACATCTGTAGAAAGTCATTTTGCTGATTAATATGCTTTACTATTTGTGTTATACCTCAATTAACAAATAAAGAGAATGAAGAAACTAGATAGTGCCGGCTATCAATCAGAATAGTGTCTGGGGTCTTAAAGGCTTGTATTCAAACAAGCGGCCATCTAAGCAAGGAGTGAACGACGTCCACGTGGAAGAAGCACACCAGTTTGTGTGATCCAAAGAAGACAATAATAAAATTCAAATATGACAAAGGGGAAAGTATCAGAGCCCACATTGAGAACACCTAATTTGTAGAAGACAGTGGAGGACAGTGGGAACCCCAAACCCATCTGCAGAGTATCTAGCCTGATGAAGCTGCTGGCTGATCCCCACTAGCCATAGGCAAGGGTCTTGAACTGCTTTACTATCAGAGGGATCACTATAATCATGATTATACTGGATCGAATTTGATACTTTGTCATTTGACCTCCCTCTTGACCCAACCTGAAATTCTTATAGGTGCAAGTATTTCTTGCTAGTTCTATGACAATTTCTTCCCTGCCCTTTTAAATATTCACAGTAGTCTTTTCTTTCTTACTCACTCTTTGTAGTTTTTATCTTTGTATTATTATTATTTTATCCTCACCACTTTTATTTTGTTTCTGTTGGGTTTTCCAGTTTGTTTGTTTTTTCTGTTTCTGTTGGGTTTTCCAGTTTTTGAAGCACAGAAGGAGAAAACGTATAGAGATAAGGACTGATGCCAGGGTTTATAGGGGAGGGAGGGGTGGAGGTGGCAGATGGGGAGAGTGGGGGAGACAAACAATATATGTGGGAGGGGGAAGGGAGCACTAGAACTGATGGTGGTAACAAAACTCATTTTAAAAGTGATTTAACCATGGGGGGGGCGGAGGCGGGAGAAAGTTAATCGTGGTAAATGATTGTATAACTCTTCTTGATATGATTGAACTATTGAATTGTGTGATATGTGGATTAAGTTCCAATAAAACTGTTTAAATAAATGAATAAATAAAGAGAAGTCATACAATCATAAATAGTAAACAATTAAGGAAAACCGTCTTCCCAGAAAGAAGACTTCTAGTGATACAAAGGAAATATCTACCAGGATTCTGATTATTATTTTTATTTTTAAAGGACAGTTTTTATGAAATATCACTTTTAGTAAAGTGATTAAAGTATAGCACACAAACATAAAAGTGCACGAATCTTAAGTATACATACAGTTCAAGCACCGTCACAAAGTTGACACGTCTGTGGAACCAGCACCCAGGTGTAGAAGCAAATACTAGATTAGAACTTTAGAAGCGCCCTCATACCCCATCCCTCTGCCAGGGGTTGTTATTGTTAACGTCCACTGCAGATGCCTTTGGGGAAATGGGCACGTGACTGTAGCAGTGGACTTAAGCATGGCAGAGAGCGTGAGGATGGTGTAGGGCCAGTGCTTCGTTCTGTTGTACGTAGGGTCACTAGGAGGGGGACTGACTCAACAGTACCTAACAAGAGCAACAAGGTGGGGAGTTCCTCATCCTACTTCTCCCCAAATGTAGTTTGATGACATCTCTCAAAACGAACCCCTCCATAAACTCTATAACCATCCCATTCATTACCTCCCTTTTTCACCAGCAACCACCTCCTAAGTTGTCTAGGCTTGCTTTCAGGGCCAACATGACTACTGACGACCTAACCCCTAACATGGTAGCAGTAGAAAGCAGTTTGTTTTAAAAAAATTTTAAAAAGCCATTTGTTTCATTACAATATGATTCATTATTCAAACTTCCATCCTTTTTCTTTTTTTTTAAGGAATCTATAGGCAATATTAAGCAATCGTGGTGGTTCTGTGGGTTAAGGGTTAGGATCCCGACTGCAAGGTTGAGAGTTCATCTCCATCAACCACTCCTTAGGAGATAGATTAGGCTCTCTGCTTCCATGAAGATCTGCAGTCGTAGAAACTTTTCATAGGGTTGCTGTGAGTGGGAATTGACTGGGTGGCAGTAGGTTGGGTTTGGTCTATATAAGAGATACTGGGTTGCCTTATCACAATTATACCTGTCTTTTCCCAGTACAGCTCACAGGTCACCGAGGTATCAAGTTTAGGGAGGAGAGCATCTAGGATGCCAGGAAAATGATGACAGTCCTAGAATTTATGTAGTACTGCAGTACTTCTCCAAAGACTTCAAGTTATTTTCCAACTGTCATTTCATTCACATAGTCATCAGTTCTGAAAGAAAGGAAAAGAGCCAAGGGTTGTTAATCCAAGATTCTTGCTAATTGGGTGAGTGAGGTACAGGTCTGTGAACTTGATAGAATCAGGTCATTAGTTACATGCGTGGTTCTTGTGCTCTTCACATTAAATGTATATAAGATTTTACCAGTGATGTATTTCGCTGTAAGCAGCCCCATAGAGCCTTTTGTGATCTGTTGGTCTCTTCTTCCCAGGAGGTTGCCCCAAAGCCTGTCGTGCTCTCTACCCCCACGCCCACCATCGTACGCCCTGGCTCCCTGCCTCTCCACTTGGGCTATGATCCTCTTCACCCAACCCTTCCCTCCCCAACCTCCGTCATCACTCAGGCTCCACCATCAAACAGGCAACTGGGGTAAGTAAAAGAGCAAGAAGGGACAGTGAAGACAATCTCTTTCCATGCTGTGAAATTATTTGATAAAATAGGAGTCTAATTGGGCCTCCACTCAAGTACTCCCTCAATGCAAGAACACTTTGTTCTATTAAAC